CTAGCGATGCACTAGTTTCTAGTAGCTTCTTGTTACTACTAGTAAGGAACCTGTTACTACTAGCGATGCAATCCTGCAAGCAGCTTGCGGTGAACATAAGAGCTACTTACAGCTACATCATTCCAAAGGGGTTTGGAATGCATGATCCCTCAGAAAAAGGGGCGCAACAGGGTGCAGTTACACATGGTATTTGTTGGAATGCCGCTTCCAGCGAGGTTCTTCCCGGTTTGCCGAGCTGAAATTATGACGGAGGACGTGAAGAAGCCCAGTTCTGGGCCAATTCATCATTTCACGGCACCCATGCAGCAAGCGGCAGGGGGCCATGACTCGGTGGTGGAAGAAAAAGAACTCCTTTTTGGAACCACAGAAGATGGCCTCCACCCTAGAAGCGATTGGCCTCCAACCTAATACTCTTTTTAAAGATAGATCCAGGCCCAAAATGCTGTCCAGGGCGTGTTGCCACATGTGGAGTAACTATGGCTCAAACATCGGAGTCACGCCATTGACGCAACGACTATCTCATAGCGAACTGACGCGCCATGCGCCCCATGCGCCTTCTCCCCTCGCATGTGGTGCATGTGGTGCTGCTGGTGCCCTCTCTTGCCTCTGAATCCTTTCAGCAAAGTGTGACGCCAGTGTCAGCGCCTTCCATGCTTCTTGCACAGCACTCAATGCTTTTTTGCGATGTATATGCATGCGTTTGAAGTTCGACATGAATTGCATATGCTTTTTGATGTGTCTCGACGTCATCCTTCGCGGGATCTGTATACTGTATCGAGCAGTGTCAAGCACCCATCTCTGAGGCTCAATTCTACAGATGTCCTTGTAAAGTCAGTTGTGCTTTTTCAAATAGGGCGGCTTGGCACGAAAGACTGCTGTGAGTGTTGGGCCTAGCCTCAGGCAGGCTCTACGTCTAAAGAGAGAGAAACTGTGAAGAAAAGTCTAAAAGAAGCACATGAAAAAACAGAAAAGGGAAGAAAGGTCTAACGGAAAAGAAGGAAGACACATGTCTAGAAAAAGAACTGAACAAGGGGAAGAACAGGACGAAACATTTCTAGAAAAAATCCAGACAAAGGGAAGAGAAGGAAGAGACGGAAGAAAGGTCCAAACAGAAATTGAAAAAGAGCAAAGGGGTCCCCCGAAATGCTGAGGACCGCGCCTAGCAGACTAAATCCGAATGTGTCCAAGCTGATGCCACAGAGGAAGGGTCCGGAGCCTACTGAAGCAAACCCGGCCCCATGCTTCCATATGACCAAAACACTGCTGTTCTGCCAAACGTTTTTGGCAACCAAAAGTTGCAAGTGAACTTCGAGGATCAGCTTTGGGTGCTGTTCTTCCAAAAGCTCCAGAACATGTGCCTTGAGCTTTCGCAGATGAGTTTTGGCGGCGGCAGTGGTAGGACTTATGGCAGTAGCCGCAGCATCAGTAGCGGCAGTAGAGGTAGCAGTGCGAGCAGGAGCAGATTAGTGGCAGTAGCAGTAGTCATAGCATGTGTGGTAGTGTTGGTGGTAGTAGTGGTGGTTGGAGGCCATCGCTAATAGGTTAATAGGTTGGAGGTAGTAGTGGTAGTACATGCATCGGAGCACGGGTTGGTCGACTTGAGCCCGAGGTGAACCTTCTCGGAATGCTGGCGCAGATGTCCCGCAAAGTTGCCACGGCACTTGGGGTCACGGACATTATCAGCTTGTGCGTTCTGGGACTTGTCGTGCTTCTCGCCCTCTATTTTGTTTGGGGTGGAAGTGTAGATTCGCAGCTTGGCAGCATTGAATGCTTGAGATGGTTGAAAGTCAAGAGGGTTCAATTCTGCAACCGCATGTTTTCGGCGAGGTTGAAAGAAAATCCTTATGGAGAGCTCAAGCAAACTGGAGAGCGTGCAGGACGAGAAGCCAAAGATAAATTCAACCAATGGAAGGCACAACAAGGACAGGCTTCGCCTGGTGGTCAGTTTGCGGAGGCTGGGGCTGTGAGTTGGGGAATGACTATGACAAAAAGGTCCTAGTAGATTCCTTTGCTAGTAATTACAATTCTAATTGAATTCTTATTGTTACTAGTAGTAAGGCACTTGTTCCTAGTAGCTTCTTGTTACTACTAGTAAGGCACCTGTTACTAGTAGCTTCCTACCTTTTGGAAGATCCTCTTGTGCGACTTTCTGAGTCTGGAGGGATGGGCCATTGGATGTGTTTTTTTTATCCGAAATGGTGCAGATAAGAGTCCGGTGGGTTGAAGGCCATCGCTCAATCATTCAAGCTGCTCAGGCGCCTGGGCCAGGAGAACCGTTTCAATCGCCTACACAAGGCGGTTTTCGCAGGCAATTCCAAGGTTGCTGCTGAGCTGCTTCCAAACCAAGACTGCGCGAGCCGAACCCAAGTGTGATGAGTTAGAAACAGGACGAGCACTTCAAGTTAGTTTGATCTCTTTCTGCTTTTGTTGTGCTTGGCGCACTTCTGCCCTTACTAGTAGCTTTTTGTTCCTAGTAGTAATGGCCTTGTTACTGGTAGCGATGCCAGGAGCTACTAGTAGCGTCCTTGTTTACCCGTATTTACCCGCCCTTGGTTACACCTCACTTTGCGTAATAATCAATTTGGGTTGACAGCAGTGTCGGGTAACCTAGTGCAATAAATTGAACAACAAGTAAAAAAACAGGTTCCAACAGTCTGAGGGTGTAGGGGTTGCTTTTCACTGTTCGCGTTGTCGGTTCTCACTGTTGTCATTGATGATGTTGCCATCTCTTGGTGTAGCAGATCGTTTGCTAACAAGAAAGGCATCGTTTCTTTTTTTTCGCATCAGCATCGCTTTGCGACCAAGCGGGGTGGGTAAGAGGGTAACATGAAAGAGACAGGGAGAAACAGTCCACAGCATAGATGTACCCATGGATGCAGGGTGGAGGCCATCGCTACTAGGGTGGAGGCCGTCGCTACTAGGGGACCGATGCCCCCACCTATGTTTGCGCCTCAAACATGCTCCAAGCGCTTCAGCGCAAGATGGCCACAACTGCACCCTCGTAGTCAGCGACAAATCAGCACATGGTCACCTAACCGTGCCCCAGCCGCAGTTGGAACTCCCAAAGACAAGCATTTTTTACATGTAAAAAGAGCCCCTAGTAGCTTTTGGTTCCTAGTAGTACGGCCAGGACCCCCTAGTAGCGTACTTGCTGCTAGTAGCGATGCCAGGAGCCCCTAGTAGCTTCTTGCTCCCTAAAAATGATGCAAGATAGGCTATGACTTGTGCAGCATTCCCTGCATCATCAATCAAGAACAAAAGAGCAGCCAGGCCCATGTTGAGCGTATTGCAAAAAGGAAGCCCTTAAAAACGGTTTCTAGAGCATACATAGCACTCCCTCAGCTACAGCTATGGTGAGTGCGGTGAGTGCTAAGCAATGCTGGTGTGTAACACGTGCCTAGATGGAACGAAGTCCTATTCCGCAACTCTCCTAAGAGCGATGGCCTCCAACCTGCTAGCTTGCCAAGTGCGTGTGTTGGATTTCTCTGTCGCACTCACCTGCGCACCAAGCAACTTGCAGCTGTTTTTTTCTCAAGAAGGGAAGACTCAAGCAAGTCGACCTACAAGAAACCCGCCGGGCTCTTCAATCCTTTGCTTTACGCGTGTGCCAAGCAGCCAGGGTTTCTGTTCTAGCTGAGGCTGTGAGGCGGAACATGGATGAGTGGAGCTTGAAGAAGAGAAAGGAGGACGCAACATGACGTGGCATTTTTTGAAGAAAAGCGTCAAGACAAATATACAGGTATAAAGAAAGGTATAGGTTGGAGGCCATGGCTATTAGATTGGACGCCATTCCTGTTGGTAAATCATAAGAATACATCTGTCACTTGAGAACTCACACCGAGAAAGGTGGCACAACCTTGACCGAAAACGTGGTTTCGAGTTTCGAGGATAAAATTTGTGCACTTGGGCTACACAGTCCAGGTGTTTGAGCCCAAGCTTACACTGCTGGATTTCCGGCTCGTTCACATTTTCCTGAGTGTTGAGGCTGAAAAGATCAATGCAATCAACAGCAGAAGGGCTGAACTCCTCCAAGAGCAAAAGGCCATGTGTCCATGTGCTTCATTCAAGCCTCACTTGCCTTAGCTTGAACTTATCACCCGCCTTTTTATCTTCCGTGTGTTTGGGCTTTGCCTTCCGACCATTTCTTGATGTTGTTGCTAGGCTTTGGCGAAGGGGCTGCGACGCCTGGTTGGCGAGGAGAGCTTTAAGTCGAAGAACACTTGGGCGTTGGTGGTGCTCTGGACCACTGGACCACGGTTTCGACGCCCATTGCTCGTTGGGGTTGCCTCTATCGGTAGGACATCGTTGTGCAGCCGAAATCTGAGTGACAGAGCTTCTTGTTACTAGAAGCGATGCACTTGTTACTACTAGCTTCTTGTTACTAATAAGAGATGCAGACTTTGGAAGAAAAACACATGAACCGGACCTTCTCGCCAAGGAGAGGCAATGTGAAGGCACAGCAAGTGGCAGTCAAGAAGCTGCGGCCCTGGAGTCGATTTGATCTTCTTCGTGCATTTTATACTGGTCAGGTCCAAGGACAAAACGAAAAGAAACAGATGCAGAGCAGTCGGACCTGCTGCTTTTAGACCTTTGGCCTGCTCAGTTGCGAGGTCTCGCCAACTCTTTGCGCCCATGCCAGGGGCCCGGGGTGTGAGCTGGGGCAGCAGAAATGTTGGATGTGCAACGCTTTTCGTTCTTTCTTTATTCCCCAACGCAAGTAGGTTGGAGGCCATTCCCATTAGGTTGGAGGCCATCGCTCAGAACAAGTGTCACAATTCTCACACGTCAGGACCTACGATGTACAGGAAACTTTAAAACAACTTGCGTACACCAACTTCTCCAACAAAGATCCATTACACTACTGGGATGAATGTGGCAACCACATGAAGCATTGGACAGGTGGCGGGCACAAGCTTGTAATTGCCAACTACCTTTCCAATTTCGATTTGGTTACATGGCTTTGGCCACATACTCGCAAGCCATCCAGACACACCTTATGCAGGTAAAACGGACCTTACGCAGCGACCAACAGACAGACAAGATGAGACCCACGAAAGGGAGGCCGTTGCGAAAGCAACGTAAGAAAAGGCCGAGGAGTACTGGCAATGGTTGCTCAAGGATAGCTACTAGTAACAAAGGGCATCGCTACTAGGAGCAAGGACACTACTAGGGGCTCCTGGCCGTACTACTAGTGGCAGAAGCTACTAGTAACACAATCCGCAGCTAGTGGCCATTAGGTTGGAGGCCATTTGGTCATGTAGAAACAGACTGTTTAAACAGTCCTCAAAGACCATCCCAGATATCCATCATGCAACTGCTACCCGAACACCGTCACATTCGCTGCAGCAAGATTGGAAGATGAGAAGCCAGAACCTAAAGATGAGTGACTCTCGGCAACCAGCCGCAGCAGCAAAACCATGAGGCAACAAAACTTCATTCAACGACCTTTCCATGGCAATAGACCATGGAATTGCATGACAACCAGATACGCTCACAAAAGGCGCGGCAACCCATACTCTCCCAACCGAAAGGCTAAGGCCGTCGGCACCCCGAGACAGTGCCTTCAGGGCTGACGAAACACACCCATGGCGCTCAGCTCAAGTTCTTCAGAGGAACCTAATAGAGATGGCCTCCAACCTAATGGCACTCAGATGCTTTGAAAAGGACACGTTTCATTAATAGGTGTTGGCGATAGAAGCGGACACGGCTCCGGGCTCGGGCCAGACAGGTAGCCAGGTAGCCAAGCAGCTCTCAACATATAGTTTGAGGCCATCGCTATTAGGTGCCTTTTGCTATTAGGTTCCGTTTGTCATGTAAAAGCTTGTTCAAATCCAATCGAAGTGTGATCAGACAGCAATTCCGAAGTTCCAAAAATTCAGACCGCCACGGTTTGGGAATTTATGGGCCAGATGCTCAGTCTAATAAGCTTAGAACTCATCAAGAACTCAGGGCTGCAACTTTGAACCTCCGAATGTTGAATCACGTTACAAGGAGAGAATCATTGACACATGAATATCATGAACCGATATCATTTTGATGTCATTTTCCTAGCTCGACAAAAACCTCACACCTTTTCTTCTTGGACAAAAAATGCCTGTGCGCGGTGGTCTCACCGTCAGACTCCCCCTTTCGCGGAAGCGAAACTGCGTGGAGAGCTTCTTGGCAAAATGCCGTGGCTCAAGGCAGGGTATTGTGGCACTTTGCCCGAAAATACTCTGCACGCATTTTGTCCTTTGTCCATCCTCGGCCAGCGTTTTCCTGCTGAAACCGATTCCATGGATTCATGGGCACTCCACTGTGCCTCGAAGGTGACTGTTTTGTCACAGGGCCTGTCAAGGCCTGGTGCAAGAGCATCGAAGCTCGCTCAGCGCTCACGGCTGCACGCCCAGCTGCTGCCGCGGCCATCTCAGCGCTCATCGCCGCCCTTTCCGCTCCACCAGCCGCACAGTTCACTGCATCGGTCACTGTCGCGCTGGCTTGCGACCCCTTGGATCGCGACAAAGACCTGCTTGCCGAGCCCGACTGTCGCCTTGATGTCAATGGCGTAGAGCTCGGCCTGGACATAGAGCCTTCCGCGCTTCGCGCCCTTGATCCCCTTTTTCTCAAGCGCAACTCAGCTTCAGGAGGTGTTCCTGACTCATCCAAACCTTCGGTCGAAGGAGAGCTTTCATCCATGACCGCTGAACTTTGGTTCTTCGATTTCCTTCTCTGTGGCCGGGTCGGAGTGGCATCCGTCTCATCCCCTTCGCTATGGCTCTGCGAACCAGCCGGCTCGATGACCACCTTCTGCAATCGTCGCAAGCAGCAGCATGCCGAAGCACATACAGCTTTGCAAACCCAGATTGCCCCTATGGCGATCAAAATCAAACCACAGATCCACAAGGCCCCGATGGTTGAGTCCTTCTCCACATCCCCTTGCGCCTCCGCCACATGCGCGAGCACGCTACCCGCTGCTAAGGCTCGAAGTGCCCCCATTTGATCTGGTACTTGAGGATGTCGCCGATCCGCCCCATTTTGATCTTGTAGTTGAGGAGGTCGACGTTCCGCCCCAAGCACCCTCACACTAGTTTCCTCCACCCTCAGGCCCAAATCACACAGAAAATTCTGAAAACTTTGACCCAGGAGCGGCTTTGTGAGTCCATCAGCCACCAGCTCAGTGCCACGAAGGTGCATCAACTTCCACGCTCCTCCAGGGTACGAGCTGCAATTCTCGAGGGCCTCCCGGAGCAAATTAGACCTCACCCTCAAATGCCTCGTCCTCCAGGAAGCTGCACTGTTACCATGGGCCAGAGCAATTGCAGCAGCATTGTCACTGTAGATGACCCGGTCAAAGGTGCTGTTGTTCATCAGCTCCTCCCCCCACATAGTACACAGCAGCGCTTCAGTTGCACGACCAGCTGTCAGGGCCTCACAGTATGACACTAATTCAGCTTCAGCTGTACTGTGAGTCACAAAGGGCTGCGAAGAGCTCTGCCAGGCAATGGGTGCTCCAGCGAAGTAGATAGCCAAGCCCTGAGTACTTCGGTGCCCTGACCCAGTGCCGTAGGCAATGTCAGCGAAAACCTCCACGAGTTTCCCATGTCGGGGAATCTTGAGTTGGCCACGAGCCCCCCAAACCTGATGCACCTGTCCGGCGTAGTGAAGATCGCCAGGGGTGCCCTTCACATAGGCCAGTAACTTGTGGGCCACTTCAATCGCCTTCTTGGGATTCCTGGTCATCATGCGGCTGACTACCGCCACTCCCAGCGCCAGGTCCGGTCTTGACCTTGTCGAAAGCCATAGGAGAGATCCTGCTAGGGCCTGTGCTTCACGGACCTGTCTGATGTCCGTCTCCTCCGCAATCTTGAAGTTGGGGAAGGTTGAACTCTCCTTCACTTTCCATCGAGTCAGGATCTCCTGCTCATACTTTTGCTGAGACAGATGGAGGCCATCTCCTTTTTCATCCAACTTGATCTCAAAGCCACAAAAATGGACCGGGCTTTGTGATGATGCCCACTCCACACTTGATGTGGTCCATATCGCCTGCAATGAGGTCAAGGCCGATGATACAGCATGTTCCTCACCGGTAAGCAGGATGTCGTCTACGTAGACTGACATGAGACCAGTCCAGTAGCTCTCACCGGACACCACATCCTCCTCCTCCAAACGCCATAGGTTCTCATCGGCGGTCTTGAGAAAGTGGCCACGGACCTTTCTGTCCTCCCTCATTCGAACCCAGCTCACCGATGGCAGAGTCCTGTCCCGATATTGAGACCAATCCCGTGGCGACGTGGTCAAACCGTACATCGCCAATTTGACCAGCCAAACTTCACCTTCACGGGCAAGACCAAGGCGTTTGTACACCTGCGGAATTTCCATGGCGACCAGTTTTCCATCTTCCCTTCTTGGAGCATTGAGGAAAGCCACACGAATGTCAGTGGCGGCCACCGACCAAGACTTCAAAGCTGCAGTGCGGAGTAGAGCACGGACTTGACATCCATCAGCCCCTCCAGCGTAGCAATCTTCGCTGAAGCGGGTTTCTGAGTAGTTTCCGCAGCAAACAGCTCTTGCCCTTCTCACGCCAGCTCCTGCCTTTCTCGTGAAGACCATTTTTTGCCGGAAGCACTTCGATGATCTTGCCTTCGTTCTCAGCTTTGGCCTGCAAGGCCTTCTTCGTGATCTGTTGCACCGCTTCCTTGGTCTGGACGAGCTGCGTGTACTCAGCCTGAATGGCCGGAACCCAATTCTCAAAATCGTCCATCACCTCCTTGGTGCTCACAGTTTTCGTGACCAAGAACTCCTCCTCCATCTCTTTGTTACATGCTTGCACCTGATCTTGATGGTTTTGTAGGAGTTGTTCTTCAGCCTCCACCTTGTGCAACACGGCCTGGCCTAGCACCCCACTATACCAGCCCTGCTCACCATTGGTGACGTCCCCATGCCCGATCTCCTCGTTCACATACTCCGCCAAGTTCGCTTGCACAGAGCGAAGAAGCTGCAGCTTGGTGATCGGAACTCCCCCGGGCCTGATCTTTTGCATTGAGGCCACTGGGTATGAGCCACCAGCCCAGTTGTTTGGCGCCTCCTCCCAATCCCCTCCTCCAAGGCTGTCCACCCCCAACAAACCCAGCTCTCCGCCCGGGGGGTCCTTCCCACCAGCACTCGAAGATGTTGAGGATGTTCCTGAAGGTGTTTCGATGGTCCAGCTGTCGCTGCTCCATTCGGTTGTGAACAACTTTTCATCATTCGGGCCATGAGCGTCAAAAGCATCACGGTGTTGACACAGCCACTTCTGGACATAGACACAAGGCTCCCCCTCCATGCCCAGCATGGATACTTGTGGGATTGCAGTTTTTTCACGCAAACGGCGGCGAGGAATGTCACCTTCCCAAGCCGCCTGGCCAGAAAGTTCCTGTTGGAGAGGCAAGTACACATGATCATCAGCAGCCTCAGGCTGGTCAGCACTTGGCACCACCACATCATCCGTGTAGAAGTACCTTTGAGTTTCAGTAGACTGCACATAGTAGCTTGTGGAAGTGAAGGAACTCTGCAAAGCCGGTCCAAGCACCCGCACCTCATCTCTGATCTCCCTCCAGGGCTGATAACGATCTTGCCAAGACTTTTTCAAAGCATAGGCCTTGGCCCCAAATGTCAA